GGAGAGGCTCCTGTGAATAGACCCACACCAGGTTGATGAGGCTCCAGTGGATAGACCCACACCAAAGTGCATTTGGTGACACAGGTTTGACTTGATAGGCCTACAGAGTACATGAAATAGGGCTGGGGATACCAGCAGTGTCCCCTGCTGAGGAAGGTGCAGACAGGGGAGGAGATCTAAATAGGATCAAAACATAGTATATGAAGTCCACAACATTCAATTAAAAATGAAAAAAAAATTAAAAGGGCATAAGCTGTTTAAATGCTCTTGAAATCGCTTCAGACAGAAAGCAGGGGCTTCCAAACATGGGGCCAGTAGCAACAACGCTGGTTGACTCTTCCTCTTCCTTTTTGACAGAACCAAGTTAGTGATGAGAATACAGGTCCCTGAGAGTGAAAAGACAGGTAAGTTTTGTCCACCCTGGTTTATGTAATCTGCTTCTAGAAGATACTTGTAGCTTCCTATTTTGAGATTTGAAGTAGGGGTAGGTAATTGGTACTGTGCTAAGAGTTTAACTTCACTGACATTAATTTAGCATTCACACATTGTCCCTGGAACTGAAAAGCCTTTATAGACTCTAGTTTTCTCAAATAATTACAACACAGACAGATTCTGTTAGCATAATTGTCTAGGTAGGGTGAGATATTCCTAATGCTTTTCAGAGCCAGATGGGTTATAGCTTTTTAGCATGGAATAATATTCCTTTATCTGAATGTATCATAGTTTATTTATCTTATCAACTATTGAAGGAGTTATTAGTTGCAATACCTTGATTTTTTTATTTTCCAAAATTCTGTAGTATTAGCATTTCTTTGTTGGTATAAAATTCAGTATGCCTTTGTTCGCAAAGAGCTTAAGCAAATCTACGGTACAACTTATCCTTATTTATTTATTTATTTTGGGTACAAGTAATATCCTTTATTTACTTCTTTATTTGTTTATTTATTTACTATTTGAGGATTTGAGGACAGGGTTATATATATATAGCCCAGGATTGCCTGAAACTTCACTATGTAGTCCAGGCTGGCCTAATCCTCCAGCAATCATGCTCCACCCCTGCCTCCTGAATGCTGAGAGCATAGGTGTGTGCTTCCACTCCCACTCATGACTCTTTTACAAGTGGGGGCTGAATAACCTCTCTAATACAATGATTAAATTTATCAATTTAATAAAAATAAAAACGACATATTTTTAAACCTTTGATTTAAATGAAATGTGTTTTTAAATCATGTATCACTAAATGTATCAATACTGTTAAAATTTTAAAATTCACAATAAGTATTGAACCAATCTTAGCATTTGAAACTTCCAGAATATTTTTTCAAAAAGATCATAAAATAGATGTAAGACATAGAGATTTCACTAAGGCTTATCTGTTGCCAAGGAGATAAAGTGAAATTGCCAGAAGTCTGTCAATTTCAGGTTGTCAGCATAGATGGCTACAAAAATAATGATTCTGCATTGCCAAAAATAGAAAACATTTAACTGAAGGTACATTTTAAAATATATGTTTATTTACAATTTTAAATATGAGCTTTAAAAATGTGACACAGAAAGTCAAATAAACATTGTTTATTGTTTTGTCACAAGTAACATTTTGAAGAAGGGATCATAAACCTTTGTCATCCTCACTACACAGTGTTGCATACTGTGTGAACCATGTAAGCATCTTCATGTGTATTCCAAGCCCTTATTACTATAGAAAATAACCCTTCTGTCCTAGAAATAACACACAATTGACTGGTTGAATACTAAACATGGAAGGTCACGGAAAAATGCAGACTACAGCTGATTCAGGAAGAAAACTTGAGCATTGTTAACCCACACACAACTGGCAATGTCAGTCACCACAGCTACAGGAATATTATTTCATTTTGTTAACTTTGCTTTCACTCTCATATATATAACATACACATGTACACACATGCATACACACAATAATCATGCTAAGCTACTCTTTCATAGTCAACAAATAAAACAAATAAAAACAAGTCATATGACTTTTTTCTACAGTAGTTTTTCAATAAGTAATAATGTTCACTTTTGAATAAGCAAGATTATGATCGGATAATAAAATTTTAAATATAAATTATAAGGAATTACAATACTGTAAAATTAAAATTCTAAAAGCAAATAAAAATGAAGTTTGTATACGTGTTTGTATAAGGTATATGCCATAAATAGTCTTGTGTTAAAATACAAATATCAGTTTACTACTCTGAAGTCCTAATATACACTGTGTGTGGTTTTGAAACTCTTCATTTGTAGTTTATAATTTTTAACTAAAAAGTCAACTCTTCTTATTAACACTTAAAGATACTAAAGGCTGATCATAAATTATATATATGCATACATGCACAATCTTGATAATAAGCTGAATATTTAGAAAAAAATG